CCCAAACCAAAGTCCCATGATGACATGTGCTTTCTCACTTAATTCCTGGGTGTAATGTCCTGATAAAGAAGGTAACAAAATACTTACAAAATAATTTAATAAAAATTCCCAAAGCTATACAATTTCAGTTAGCTATTCAATAAGCATGTTATTATTTTTGAGTAGAAAAAATTGCAAACCCATTCAAAGCCTAATGACGAACCCTGCTATAATAGTCTATTAAATTAAACTCTTGACCTATTAAGTCTTTTTTTTTTAAGTCTTTTTTTTTAAAAAAGATTTTATTTATTTATTCATGAGAGACACAGACAGAGAGACAGAGACACAGGCAGAGGGAGAAGCAGGCTCCATGCAGGGAGCCTGACATGGGACTCCATCCCGAGTCTCCAGGATCATGCCCTGGGCTGATGGCGGCGCTAAACCTCTGAGCCACCTGGGCTGCCCATTGACCTATAAAGTCTTAAGAGAAAAGTATGAATGCCCAGGGCCTCCTTCAAACCTCCTACCCTACCCCAGATAATGAAATCTGACAAACTGTCATGTTGATTTCTGTAACCATTCTTAAAACATCCTACCTCTGGGATTTTTGAAGGAATTAAAAAAAAAAAAGCTCAGTTTTGCAAGATGGAAAGAGTTCTGGAGATTGGTTTGCACAGTAACTTGCAGGTATTTAACACTACTGAGCTATACACTTATAAAGATGGTAAATTTATGTTAGGTGTATTTTCCACAACTAAAAAAAACCCAAAAAAACAAAACTTCAATCTCATCAAATTAATCTTTTACTTTCTGAATCTCAACAGCCTTGTCAAAAGCTTCAGGACCATTTATCCAATCAATTTTTGCTTTTTTAGTTAAATTGTTTTTTAATCTTTGGTACCAATTTTAGTCTTTTCTTTAAATGTGTTTTATACAAGTCAGCTTCCAAGAGCCACAAATCCCTGTTATCTCTCAGTGTTGTAGAAATTCAAGTAAGTACATAAGAGCTGTGGATGATTCCTAACATATAGCATAGTATTATGTACCAAACATGCTCAACACACTCACTGAATTAAATAAATAACTGCGTAATTTAGCTTGCCACTCTTAGTTAACTGTCTATTGGAGGAAGCAGATGACAAAACTCAGCTGGCTAACCTAATTCTGTGTCTTTGTGAAGCCCTTCTTGCCTCAGTTTCCTTACTTGTAGATGAGAGAGCCGAACAGATCTCTAAAGCCTATATGATTCTGAGATTATAACTTCTGTGATTCTTGCTTCAGGAGAATCCTTATATTCTCTAATCTCTTTTCCCTGTGTGATTTTTCTTCAGTATAATTTTGTCAGTCTTTACCACTAAAAGGCAAGCTCCAGGAAAGGAGGCATTTTAACACATTGCTTTATCCCCAATGCTGAAGTTAGGGCCTGGGAATAGTGAAAGCTACCACAAATATACATACCCTTTAATAAGCCTCAGTAACAGGATATTTCTTTAAAAAAAAATCAGTATCCATTTAAATGTAGAATAATATTTTGAAAAGTTAGCAGGAATCAACTTCAATAGGATTACTGAATAAGTTTTTAATTCTTAGCGAGAGCAAGTGTTTAAGTCACTGATACAGCAATATCCCGAATCCTTTCTTAGTAGTAGTATTTGGTGGCTCTATTTCGAAAGAAACACAAACTCAAAAAATAACAATCCGTTATATTACAGCCTGCTCCTATGTCACTCTTGAAATAAGTGCATGATGTTTGGAAATGCACCCACTACCTTTGGATCTTAATACTGTATCAACATTTAGATCCAAAAGCTGTAGAGCAAAGCAGCACATCTTTTATTTACACAGCTGTTTGGCTCCAGGGAAAAATAAGGTAAGAAAGTAAAGCACTGGTACCATTTTACCATTACAAACATACTCGTCATCTGTTACACACAAATGGCTGTGGTTCACGTGCACACTTTCTCAGCTATTGGACCAGCCAAAAGGCAAAGCACAGGCATTAATGAGGCTGTATGTGTTTTAAATATAAATATGAAAAATACACTGATAAATATCTTTTTCATATACTGACTAGAATAATTCTAAAATATTATTGACCTACTCATTCACAGATGCAGAAAACAAAACAAGCTCTTCTTCAGGATACACATAAGTGAGATGTTCTACAACACTTTATTTTAGGATTTATCTTATTTTTAAAAACTAAGCCAATCAAAAAAAACCTAAGCCAATCATCTCAAATACCACAGATTAGATTCAATATAAACAAACATCCTCTCCAATCACGAATAATATCCCTAAGGTTTTAATGAAATTCATTATTGTACCAAAAAAGCATCATAAAGAGCTTGTAAGAATGATAAGCATATAATAATATAAGAATGGAATGGAAATAAAGCCTCAATTCTCTTCCATCTTCTTCATTTAGAGATGAGAAAGAATTATAAAAAATCTTAACAGATGTGAACAAAAAGGTAGTTAATGCTTCTCAGCAAGTCAGGCTAGAAACCAACTAACTCAGCTAAACACAGGAAGTGTTCCTCTTTTAAACACCACAAAAATGTCTGTGGATTTCTTTAATTGTAAAGTTGATAAAATATAAAAATAGCCTGCATTATCCTAGGGTAATTCAAATGAAAGAATCATAAACTTCCAGTCTGACCCCTAGATCAGATTTACACATCTAAATGTCAATTTAAATGCTTCTGTACCTGTTCATTATAAACTATTAGGGCTAGAATTGAAAATAATACATTTAAGGTATGAACATTTTAAATGTGTTTGACATTCCAAAGGAGGGGAGAGTTAAAATGGCTGGAAAGATTTTTATTTTTTAACTTTTTTTTAAAGATTTTTTTTTTTTAATGTATATATTCATTAGAAAGAGAGAGAGAGATAGGCAGAGACACAGGCAGAGGGAGAAGCAGGCTCCATGCCAGAAGCCTGACAAGGGACTCGATCCCGGGTCTCCAGGATCAGGCCCTGGGCGGAAGGCAAGCGCTAAACCGCTGAGCCACCCAGGGATCCCCTGGAACGATTTTTAAATATCCAACGACTTTAAGTTTAAAGTACCTGGACTGGGTCAGTAATAAAGAAAAATTGAAAGGTGAGGCACAGAAACTTAAGACGAAAATAGTTCACCTTAAGTAGAAGGTCTCCCCTTAGTAAGAAAAAGGTAGTTTATAAATGACTCTCACAGTATATGATAACTCTTATACATACACACAGCATTAAAAAGGAAAGATCTGTAACATCTTCACGAATACTTCACTCCTTTCTTCTTATTTCTATCGGCTAACTTCTTGCCTTGTTGGTTGTAATCTGATTACGTCTAGCAATGCAACACTCCAATATATCTGTTTTAGGAATAATACATATCAGAACATTTAGAGTGCTGTTTGACAGCTTCGAGTTGCAGGAATTTAAAACAAATGCCAAGAAAAGCAAAGAAAATTTAATCATGCTGAAGTACTGATTCTAGAAGTAACTTTGAAGGAAAGCCTTACACCACTTTACTATAAAACTTCTAATAAAGATGTATTTCTTCCAACGTGGGCAAAAACGTAAAGGAGAAAAAAAAAACCCGCAATAGTTCATGTATTATTGAGTTCTGGTTTAAAAATCAACCTATGTTCTTATAAAGTGATTTTCATGCTAATTAGCAATGACTCTGCTAATTATATTTGGAGAATAAGAACTGTTCCTTAAGACCGTTTAGAAAAATACGTGGAGAATTGCTCAAAATCCACACAAAGGTAAATCACAGGCTTTGTCAATTGGGTGAAGAGAAAGGACTATGCAAGGCAGACAGAAAATGAGGCTTCGTTTACACTAACCAGGTAGACATAGGAAAAAAAAAATCCATAAAAACTGGGTGAAGATGAGAAGAAGAAAAAAATCGCCATCAACAACTCTACTTCTTGCTTCTCAGGTAACAGAGGAAAAACCCACCGGGACAGGAGGGAGTCCCAGGGTCTAAACTCCTCCGTCTACTAAGGAAGGGGCCAGGGCTTCCAGGGGATGGATACTGGGTTCACAGCGACCCAGCACAGGGGCCGAGTTCAATACTCGGGGAACACTGCCCTTTCCTAGAATAACTGATTGCTTAACACAGGAATCTAAACCCCTTTGACACGCAAAGCACCGTCCCCCAAACTCGAGGAGGGACGAGCCAGTGTTCCCCCGCTCCCAGGTCTTGATTCACCTGGCGCTGAGAGCTCCCAGCGCCGCGGGGCTCCGCGTTTAAAGGGCGGTCCCAGGAGGTACGCGATTGCCAAGCAGCCCCTCTCCGCAGGAAGGGACGAGAAAACCCGGCAGCACACGCCGTCCGCTCAGCACTCGCACGGCCCTCGGGAGAGGTAGGGCGGGGGCGACGCCGTTAACCCCCCGGGGAGGAGAAAGTTGCTCCAGAGCCACCACCAGCCGCGTTCGCTGCAAACTTTCCAGCCGCAGCGCGAGCGCCGTCACTTACCGGCGGCAGAAGTCATGATTCCCCCGTGCAGCTCGCTTCCCCGCTCGCCCCTTCAATCCCTGCTCCTCTTACAGTCCATTGTTTCAAGAGTTTGGGCAGAAGAGAAAAGCCTCCACGGCGCCCGCATTCCGTCCCGCGGCCCCGCGGCGCAGCTGGAGCGCCGCACAAAGGACGCGGCCGGCTCCCGGGACCCGGCGACGCTCCCGGGCGCGAGCCGCAGGCGGCGGGCGGGCACGAGCGCCAGTCAGCCGAGCTCCAGACGGACGGCCAGGCGCGGGCACGAGCAGGGCTCACCGCGGCTCCGCCGGCGCGTGCACCTCTCCAGCTCCAAAAAAAAAAAAAAAATCGGTGCTCCTGGCGCCCCCTGTGAGTCGCGGCCGTAAAAGGCGGACAAAAGCTCCAGCCTCCTCCAATCAGCGGGGGTGAGCTTCCTCCCGCTCACGCCCCTCCCGCCCACACGCTCAACCTCTGCTCCAATAAGCAGTCGTGAAAAGGGGGCGTGAGCTGCGCGGCCTGCTGGGAATTGTAGTTTTGTGGACAGACGCGACGGTCTGTTGCAGACGCCGGGGTGCCGCCTGTTCTCCCGCCTTCATTTCCCATCGTGCTGAGGCGGGTGGCATGGCGGAGAAGGATGACACCGGAGTTTGACGAAGAAGTGGTTTTTGAGGTAAGGGGAAAATGGCGGTGGGTATGGATCGCCTTTGTTTGAGAAGGACGAGGGGGAAGGCGAAGGGCCGATCCCAGGAGAAGGGATCGGGTGACGCTCCCACCCGCCTCGGGCATCGAATCTCGGCGATTTCTGGGCCTAGTGTGGGTCGCAGCCTGACAGGTGTAGCCCCAGGCACGGTCGCCGCGGCAATCTCCGCCTCAGGCCCGCCCAGAATTCCCAGCTGGGGCCCGGTTGCTAGGCCCGCGCACCGGAGCCCTGCCGGTTCCTTCCCGGGAGATGACTATGCCGCGGGGGTTCAGCGCCCGGGTGGGGCGGGGCCCGATCGTGCATTTTTTGGATACTCCCCAATACGACTTAGCCTCCCCCCTTTTTCGTCCCGGATTTTTTGGGTCTGTCTCCAGAAGTGTCGCAGGTCACGGTTCACAGTCGAGGCGTGGCCCTCGTAATGAAGGCAGCAGGTGCTAGTTTTCTAACACGTTTTAAAATCTGTGTGTGGGATCTACCGAGAATGATTAGGACCGAGGCATCTCAACATCTAGGTGCCATTCTTTTGTCCTTTGCTGTTGCGCTAGGTGTAGCCAGCTCTCCTGACGCGAGGCTCTGGGTGTGAGTGCTTTTGTGTGGGACTATTTTAAGACGTTCTCTGCCATCTTGAATGAAAAAAAAAAGAAAAAAAAAAAACACCACCAACAACAAACAGGCGAGTGTTTTTGTTGCCATTTGTCTATCAGATCCAGGTGAAAGCTTACATCCAGTGTAGATCTATTGCACGTATGTAGGCTTTAGGTTTCCTCATCCAACCAGATTTTTTTTTAATTAAAGAAAAAAAAAAAGGAATGACCCATTCCAAACAGTGGGAAAATCTAGGCATTAAACTGCAGAGTGATAAATGGTGAAATATGTATAAAACTGTCATTGGAGGATTGATGTGGAAACGGCAGTCTGTTCTTGTGAGAGGCTACACCCAGTACGTGATATCGGAGGTAAGCCTTGAACTACGAATCGGATTAGAATGAAAGGAGAAAATGCACTACCGGGAAAGAGAACTGAACATGCCAGGGTTAGGAGGTGTGAGAGGACCTGTATGGATATTTTCAGGGGCATGAGTGTGAAGGGTCGCTATCTAAAGGGGTTTGATGTGGCTAGAATGTAGAGGTAGTGGAAGATAAGGCCATTTTATTTACCAAAATGAAGAATCTGGATTTGAGGGGCACATTTGGGAAGGCAAGTGTCTGAATTTCGGAAAGGAGAGAAGAAATAATGGAATAATGGCTTGGATAGGGAATTCTTAGAATGAAAGGTAAAATCAAGGAAAACAGTTACAGATTGAATGTGGGAGATGAAGGAGACAAAAATCTAGGTTGCTCAGGGTAAAGAAAACTGGGCAGCTGTTATTTTTTTTTACCCTATATTTTCTTAGATTTATGAATATAATAGTAATGGATGCTCAAAATTATTTCGTTGTAGGGCAGCCCGGGTGGCTTAGCGGTTTAGCGCCGCCTTCGGTCCAGGGCTTGATCCTGGAGACATGGGATCGAGTCCCACGTCCGGCTCCCTGCATGGAGCCTGCTTCTCCCTCTGCCTGTATCTCTGCCGAGCTCTCTCTCTCCCTCTCTCTCCCTCTCCCCCTCCTCCTCTCCGTGTCTCTCATTGATAAACAAATAAAATCTTAAAAAAAATATTTCATTGTAGAAAATAAGCTATAGAATTAAAATCATCCTTTATCCTATCACCCAAAGATGGCCCCTACTAGTATTATAGTACTGTTACAGACTTTAAAAGCAAATGTATATTTAATGTGTGATATTTTTTAAAGCAAAAGGTATCATACCACATAGAATTTTGTATGTATTTTTAACTTAAATTCATCATGATTCTTTATTCATTACTGAAAACATTATTAATAATTTAATAATATTATGTATGTGTATTTTAATTTAACCATTTTCCCATTTTGGATAATTATATTGTTTTAAAATACATTGTAATAACACTGATATGATTACATCTTTAACTGCAACTCTGATTTTTCCTTAGAATAATTTCTAGAAGTGAAACTAATTGGTCAGTTTTTTAAAACTTATAGAGAAATAAGAGAAAGGTTATACTAATTTATATTTCCACTAGGAATAAGAATATTCATTTCACCAAATGCTCAGCAATGGTTTTTTTTTTGTTTGTTTCTTTTAAGCTTTGCTAATTTGATGTGGAAAAATAGCATTCCATTGTTCTAATTTATATTTTGTGCATTTATTGGAACCATTTAAATTTCTCTGCATGTTTCTCTTTATATTTTTTTTGTCTACTTTCCTATTGGATGCCAGCTTCTTTTTTTTATTTTTATTTTTTATTTTGGAGGAGGGAGAGACAGAGCATCTTCGACAGGGTCCACGCTCAGCATGGAGCCAGAAGCCTGAGGCAGAGCTCAGTCTCACAATCCTGAGATCATGACTGAACCCAAATTGGGAGTCCCATCACTTAACCAACTGAGCCACCCAGGCACCCTTGGTTGGTAGTTTCTTAAAAATTGGTTTGCAGGAGCTCTTGGTTGGCTTATTCAGTTAAGCACGTGACTCTTGGTTTCAGCTGGGATCATGATCTGGTGATGGTGGGATGGAGCCCCCAAGTTGTGCTCAGTGCAGTGTCCTCTTCAGGTCCAACTCCCCCTCTGCTCTGCTCCTCATGGTCATTGGCTTCTCTCTCTTCTTCTCTTCTCTCTGAATAAATAAAATATTTTTTCAAAAACAATGATTTGCAAAAAAAAAAAAAAAAACATAAGTTCTTCTTGTGTTAGTTAGCCTTATTGCACTTATAGAAAATTGTTTCTAGTTTGCTGTTTGTTTTTTGTCGTATAAGCTTTACTGAAGCATAATATGCGTAAGTGTACAAATCATAAATGTGCAGATTGACAAGTTTTGACGAGTTAAATACACCCATGTGACCAACAGCCAAATCAAGAAACAACACCACCAGCACACACCAGAAGCTACCTTTTATTTTCTGTGGGTTTTGCCCACCTCAGAGATAACCATTATTCAGACTTGTAATAACTTATTTTGTCTGTTTTTATACTTTATACACTGTGCAATTCCATTTGTATATGCTTTTTTAGACTATTTTTGCTCTATGGTCTTGTTAGATTCATCCATATTGTCATATGAGCATTTTTATTTCTCCATAGTATTCCATATGAGTGACAACTTTTTAATCCATTCTGCTGTTCTAGTTTGGGTAGTTTCCAATTTGGGACTGTTCTAGCTAGCATTGCTTAATATATATGTTTTGTTGAATGTATTTTATTTTATTTTATTTTATTTTATTTTATTTTATTTTATTCATTTGAGAGAGAGAGAACAAGTGGTGGGGAGGAGCAAAGGAAGAGAGAGAGATGAGGAAGCCCAATGTGGGGCTCAATCCCGGGACCCAGGGATCATGACCTGAGCTGAAGGCAGAGATGCTTAATTGAGCCACCCAGGCGCCCCTTGTTGAGCATATTTCTGTTGAGTATATACTTAGAAGTAGAATTACTGAGTCATGGGAAATGCACCTGTTCACCTTTTGTAGATATTGCTAAATATTATTCCAACCTAGTTGTACCAGTTTATACTCCTGCCAGCAGTATATAAGAGAGGTCTGGTCGCTCTACATCCTCACCAACACTTGGTAATGTCAGTCTTTCTTGTTACTATTCTGGTTGTGTCTTCTGGTGTATTCTTTTGCTTTCAATTTGCATTTTCCTGATAAGGAAATTGAGTCTTTTTATATGTTTATGAGCCCACCCTATGTATCTATCCACTTTTGAAAAGCCAGTTCAAATTGTGTAATTTTCAATTGTGTTATGTCTTTCACTGTTGAAGGGAGTTCTTTACATAATACTGGATATAGGGATGCCCAGGTGGCTCAATGGTTGAGCATCTGCCTTTGGCCCAGGGCGTGATCCTGGAGACCCGGGATTGAGTCCCACATCAGGCTTCCTGCATGGAGCCTGCTTTTCCCTCTGCCTGTGTCTCTGCCTCTCTCTCTCTCTCTCTCTCTCTCTCTCTCTCTCTCTCTCTCTCTCGCTGTGTCTCTCATGAATAAACGAATAAATTAAAAAATAATAATAATAATACTGGATATAAGTCTTTTGTTGGATATATGCACCTCAAATATCTCAGAATGTGTGTGGCACTCTCTTAATAGTGTCTTTTAATGAACAGAAGCTCTTAGCTTTATTATAATCTGATTAAACCTTTTTCTTTTGTGGTTAGTGCTTTTAAAGAAATATTTGCCTACTTTAAGGTTAGGTATTTTCTCTGAAAGTTTTATTTTACCTTTTGCATTTAGATCATCCATCTGGAACTGATTTTTACATGGTATGAAGTAAAGGTCAACATTTTTCTTCCCGGATGGATATCCAGTTAACCTGACATTTGTGCAGCAGACCATTCTTTCTCCCACTGAACTACCTACCATGTTGCCTTTGTAATAAATCAGGATACCTTGTATGTGTAGCTCTATTTCTGGATGTTCTCTTTTCCATTGGTCAATTTGACCATCCTTGTGCCATAACATGTTATTTTAATCAGTGTAACTTTATAGTAGGTCTTAGTGTCTGGTAGGATAAACCTTTCAGCTTTATTTTCCTCCAGGGTTGCTTTGGTTATTTCATATTTGGTCTTTTGCATTTCCAAATGAATTTTAGAATCAGCCTATCAATTTCAATTAAGAAAAAAACCTACTGAGATTCTGACTGGGATTGCTTTGAATCTGTATTTTGATTTGGAAAGACTCACTGTCTTTAAAATACTGGATCTTTCAATCCATGAACACTTACTTCACTGCATACTTTCTAAAAGAGGCAGGTTCCCATCTCTGTGCTCTTGAACTGATTTTGCAACAGGGAATATAAGAGAGGAAAATAATTTTCCCTCTATCCTTCTGAATTCTTGACTGAGACCCCTGGTAATAAAAGATAACATTAACAAGAAAAAACAAAGTTTATTAACATGTATACC